AGAAATTTTATATAATTTTTTTTTGAGAAAATCGTTTTAGATTATAATTTATAGAGGGGGAAATCGTATCGTTTTGTTACAAAAGTTCCGTGCCCTATTAATTACCGTAGCAAAATTTTTCCCCTGGACCCTTATATACTATAAGATAAGTATAAATCATACCAAAATATAGCAATGAAACGCTATCACTTTTCATTTCTTCTCCTACAACCGTGACATTAACCTCCATAGTTGTGCATAATTTCGGCATTTTCGATATAGTGAAAAACGTTTCCGTGGTGTTGTATTCCGCGGGATTTTCATCTCCGTCCATCGCCACGCTAAGAAGGTACTGTATGTTGCAACTAGACGATGATGAGGGTGACCATTTTATAATTATGTGGTTCTCTTTGTGTTCCACATTTAAATTTGATGCCGGCTCTAACTCTATAAGAATTTATTGATTTATTATTATTTTTTTTTCTTTCTGATTGATTTTTAATCATACCTAAACATGTTTTATCAACCGTTGGCACTACAGACACTATTATTCCAACAATTATTCCCGTCGTTGCAGCAGCTGCAACCACTGCAATGATTGCTGCAAGATGATATAAAAATTAGGTGTGTTATAAAGATTTTAATTGCTTAATTACTTACCAATTTTTATAAAAACTGGGAACATTGGTTTTAACTTTAGTTGCGCAGTTTTCAATTTCGAACTAGATGCGGATATGCGAGTTTGTTACTTTTAATCCTTACATCAATTAATTATATCTGCAAAATTTATTATTGAATTGATTTTTTATTGATGAGTATTAGATAGTGTTAATCCTACTTGATTGTTCTCAATTTTTATTATATTATTACAGGAAATTATCTAGCATTATCTATAATATTGTAATTGTTCAACTAGGATTATTGTTTCTATCTAAACTTCAAATTAAGAAGAATATATATGAGCAATATCTACTTGCCAACTTTTAAATGCTCGGATACATCACACACGTACGTTCGTACACTTTTTATTATCAAGACATATTTTAAAAAAATGTTTCTAAGAATTTATCTCGTTATTATTAATGCTCTTTTAACTTAATGGAAAATTAAATAATAACGGAACGATTTGTTATCTGAATTACGTTAAATGGATCACACCATTTAATAAAAACGAGAATTATTTTTTATTAAAGCATTATCTTATAAATACGATATAAATTATTAATTTAGTTAACATAATAAATACAATCTTCTTGATGTACAACAAAATCTGAAACAAAAATGAAACGTATATATTAAATCAAGTTTATTTAATTAAGCAAATATATACCACTTTCAATCTTAAATGTGCACTTCTTAATGCTTCCTTTAATCTCTTCATTTTCATTATTGCTTCTTTGCACTGCTTGAATTTCAACGTAGAAATTTGTGTTTGGGTTTATAGTATATTCTTGAAATATATAAAAGTTTGAATCTGTATCTATCATATCAGGCTTTGGATTATCTATATATCCTGAAACTTTATAATAAATATCAGCGCAAGGTTTGAATTCTTCTTTTAAATCCCATTGTATCTTCAATATTTTATTTGGCAAATATGCAGAAATTGTTTCAGAAATCGCTTCAAAATCTTGGGTTAAGTCTACAAAAAAACGCTGAGTATTATCACTTAGAATCAAACATTTTGTCAATATACTATACAGGTGTCTCAGCGAGACCGGTCATTAGACGTTTCTGGGGTTCTGGAAACCCAATCATTCAATTACGATCTCTTCGCCTAAAATATTTTCAGATTTCTTGCACTTCCGGTTGCAAAAAATCTTGCAAAATGATCAAAAACATCAAAATTTGGTTCTATTTTTGGGCTGGGTTGGTACTACTGATCGATGGAATAAAATAACTTATGGGATATCTTTTATGGCTTAATTTTAAACCTTTTTTATATGAAAACTTTTTTTCTATCAAATATAATTAATGAGTTATAAAAGAAAATTGATGAAAACGTCAAAATTTCTATTTTTACAAGTTGGGTTGGTAATGCTTATTGATGGAGTAAATATCTTTACTCAGTACGTCTTATAAGTTAATTCTAAACATTTTTCGTTTAAGAAATAACTCTCCACCATGCACTATTAATGAGTTATAACCGAAAATGATCAAAAACATCAAAATTTGGTTCTATTTTTGGGCTGGGTTGGTCCTACTGATCGATGGAATAAAATAACTTATGGGATATCTTTTATGGCTTAATTTTAAACCTTTTTTATATGAAAACTTTTTTTCTATCAAATATTATTAATGAGATATAAAAGAAAATTGATGAAAACGTCAAAATTTCTATTTCTCTTACGTTGGGTTGGTAATGCTTATTGATGGAGTAAATATCGTTACTCAGTACGTCTTATAAGTTAATTCTAAACATTTTTCGTTTAAGAAATAACTCTCCATCATGCACTATTAATGAGTTATAACCGAAAATGTTCAAAAACATAAAAATTTGGTTCTATTTTTAGGCTGGGTTGGTACTACTGATCGATGGAATAAAANGTAATACTGATTGATGGAGTAAATATCTTTACTCAATACGTCTTATAAGTTAATTCTAAACATTTTTCGTTTAAGAAATAACTCTCCACCATGCACACTATTAATGAGTTATAACCGAAAATGATCAAAAACATCAAAATTATCTATTTTTGGGCTGGGTTGGTACTACTGATCGATGGAATAAAATAACTAATGGGATATTTTTTATGGCTTGGAACACCCTGTATATTTTTATACAGGGTGTCACACAAAAAACGCCCCAAGCTGTAACTCTGTTATTTATATTCCGATTTTCATGGCCTAGGTATCAACTGAAATGGTTTTATAAATACTATGATTCATGCTACAAATAATTAAGAACTGGTTACGTGAGACACCCTGTATACAGGTGTTCCATTTAAAAATTTTTATTTTGACCAGAAACGTCTAATGACCGGTCTCGCTGAGACACCCTGTATAAAAAAAAATAAAAAACAAATTGTACCTTTTGTAAAATTAGTAGATTCAACATCGCTACTTTTAACATTAACAGAAACTGTATGTGTTGTACAATATTCCAAAGTAAATCCTAACTCGTCATCAAGTATTACGCTATTCTCGCTGGTCTTAAACTCTTTTGATGTTCTACCTTCATATTTAACGTTATAAGAACAACTCTCTCCCAAACCTTTCCATTCAGCAACCAATTTTTGATTTGTATCGTTAAAATTTAACGTTAATTCTTCAATTTTAATTAAATCTTAAAAGAAAATCATAAAAATCATTTTATATTATAAAATCGAATGAAAATAAAATAACTCACCGGAATGTATCGGAATCGTTTTTACATCACTTCTTCCTAATTCTCTATCATTTTCACCATACATAGCAATTAAAACCACTTCATTTTCGGATTTGCAAATATCTAAGATTTCTGTGGAAATTTCTTTGGTGTAATATTCAAGATCGGAGTCCTCATTATCAATAGGAATCGGATTTTTATCGTTAACTAGTATTTCGTAATCGCAACTTGGTCCAAGATATTTCCATTTAGCCGTCATGTCATTCACATCAAAATCGTCGATCGTGTCAAAAATCGTGGTGTAATTATACTCGGCAGAAATATATTTAGTTTCGCCATCGATTCTTTGCGATTTCAATTCGAATTTATAAGCGACACATAATTCTGGTTCTATTGAAGTAATGATACAAGTGGAAGTATCAGTCATCGGAACTTTACAAACGATTTCATTTCCATCTAATTCTATGCTATAAATGCAGTTTGGGTGTGAGTTTTCCCATGTAGCTATTAAATTATTAATCTCAAAAGTTTCTATTATTGGGCCTGAAATGATTGTTTTTATGCAAAAAAAATTGTATGAGTGGAGTATAATTATAGTTTAATAAATCTATCTTGGCCGAAAGTGGTTTAGTTGAGCAGAAAACGACATCGAGGAGTCGTGTTCGCCAGAAACTTAGTACAGGGTGGTTCAAATTCGATGTCCGAATAGGCTAAATCGGAAACTATATTTCTTTCCATTCTTTCTAATGAAACGTCAAAAAATGTCATTTGAAAAAGACGTATAGAGATAGCGCCAACTTTAACCAACTTCATTTAGGTGAAACGTCAAAAAATGTCACTTGAAGAAGTGAGGTTAGAATGGATTAAGATTGATACAATCAACGCCTCGGCCACAAATGACAGAATTGGAGAATATATAAGTATTGTAGGATCTTGCCACTAGAATACAAATTATGATAAAGGATGTATAGGATATTGTATTTATATTGTATATACAGGGTGATTCAAAAAACAGCTGACAGACTTCTAGAGTAAATAATACATGAAAAATAAGTCTTAATATATGTCGAGTCGTAAATGCTTCCTTAACTTTTTAACCTTCTGCAAGCACATTTCAGTATTTTAGAAGCAATTTTTGCCCTTTAGCAGCAGTTGCTAGTCTTCTGCAAACACTTTTCAGTATTTTGGAAGTAGTTTTTGTCTTTTGGAAGCAGTTTCTAGCCTTCTGCAAGCACTTTTCAGTATTTTGAAAATAGTTTCTGTCTTTTGGTAGCAATTTCTAGTCTTCTGCAACGATTTCTCAGTATTTTAGAAGCAGTTACTGTCTTTTGCTAACAATTTCTAGACTTCTGCAAGCACTTTTCAGTACTTTGGTAGCAGTTGAAAGTAGTTTCTGTCTTTTGGTAGCAGTTTCTAGCCTTCTGCAAGCATTTTTTAGTATTTTGGAAGCAGTTTTTGTGTTTTGAAAACAGTTGATGTCTTTTGGTAACAGTTTCTAGACTTCTGCAAGCACTTTTCAATATTTTGAACGCAGTTTTTGTCTTTTAATAGCAGTTCCTAGTCTTCCACAAGCACTTTTCAGTATTTTGGAAGCAGTTTTTGTCTTTTAGAAACAGTTTCTGTCTTTTCGTAATAGTTTCTAAACTTCTGCAGGCACTTTTCAGTATTTTAGAAGCAGTTTTTGTTTTTTAGTAGTAGTTTCTAGCCTTCTGTAAGCACTATTCAGTATTTTGGAGTCAGTTCTTGTCTTCTGGAAACAGTTTCTGTCTTTTGGTAGTAGTTTCTAGCCTTCTGCAAGCACATTTCAGTATTTTGGAAGCAGTTTCTATCTTTTGGTAGCAGTTTCTAGTCTTCTGCCGGCACTTCGCAATATTTTGGAAGCAGTTTTTGTCTTTTGTTAGCAGTTTCTAGCCTTCTGCAAGCACATTTCAGTATTTTAGAAGCAGTTTTTGTTCTTTGGTAGCAATTTCTAGTCTTCTGCAGGCACTTCTCAGTATTTTAGAAGCAGTTACTGTCTTCTGCTAACAGTTTCTAAACTTCTGCAAGTACTTTTCAGTATTTTGAAAGCAGTTTTTGTCCTTTAGTAGTAGTTTCTAGCCTTCTGGAAGCATATTTCAGTATTTTGGAAGCAGTTTTTTTTCTTTTGGGAGCAGTTTCTCTGTTTTGATAGCTGTTTCTAGCTTTCTGCAAACACTTTTCAGTATTTTGGAAGCAGTTTTTGTCGTTTGAAAACAGTTTCTAAACTTCTGCAGGCACTTTTCAGTATTTTAGAAGCAGTTTTTGTTTTTTAGTAGTAGTTTCTAGCCTTCTGTAAGCACTATTCAGTATTTTGGGGTCAGTTCTTGTCTTTTGGAAACAGTTTCTGTCTTTTGGTAGTAGTTTCTAGCCTTCTGCAAGCACATTTCAGTATTTTGAAAGCAGTTTCTATCTTTTGGTAGTAGTTTCTAGCCTTCTGCAAGCACATTTCAGTATTTTGAAAGCAGTTTCTATCTTTTGGTAGTAGTTTCTAGCCTTCTGCAAGCACATTTCAGTATTTTGAAAGCAGTTTCTATCTTTTGGTAGTAGTTTCTAGCCTTCT